ATGCCACAACACCACCCCGCATGTATGAGGGGCCGGTGCGACGCTCCGGTGGCATTGCTAACCCCCCCAGGGCCTCCGTCCCGCCTAACCTTGGAGCGGTTGACCACGAGATCTTGCCCTTTGACTTTCCACGGATGGGCTTTGAACAGTGGACCTCTCCACCCGGTTGTGTCAGGTCAGCCCTGAGGGACACCTGGGAGCAACATCCGGGCCAAACCGACAGCTACATTCCCTCCGTGTAGACCCGATGCGTCCGTTTCCCCCCTCCAGGTGCCGGCGACGGCACCGTCTGTTAGGGGGGCACGCCCCGGAGATGCGTGCCGCCTCTTCGGACATGCCACAACACCACCCGGTTGTGGTAGGTCATCTCATAGAAACACTTGGGAGCAACGTCCCCTTCGTATAGACCCGATGCGGCTGTTTCCGCCCTCCAGATGCCGGCGGCGGCGCCGTCCGTGAGGGGGGCACACCGCGGACGTGAGGGGGTCACACTCCGGGGACGGGTGTCGGGCGTTTGCAACCGCCACAAAACTTCTGTCGGCATAGTTGTTGTTTATTTTAATAAAATATAAGGACCTATATTCAAAAGAACAAGACGGCACATTATTAATGTGCTTGAAAAAAAATACAAACTATATATATATATATATATATATATATATATATATTCATAATCTATGGAAAAAATTACAAACTACATATATTTTCATATAATACATAAAAAGCATAAAAACATATGTAAAAAATGCATAAAAGCATATGTAAAAAAAGCATAAAAACATATGCAAAAAAACAGATGTAAAAAATTTAATTATGCCCGCCGTCGGCATAGCGACGGCAGGGTTTAGGTGGGCGCCGTGCCGCACATCGTTGACGTGGCGCCTATGTCGTCGGCATATCTACGGCGCGGATCGGTGACATGGCGTGCGGAGATATGTCGACGGCCGCCCGTCCCGACCGTCGGCATAGGTTTGACGGTGTTAGCCGCTGGTCACGGGCGGGGTCGCCGGGCCCACAGGTATGCCGACGGCTGGCTTATGCCGACGGCTGCTGTCGGCGTGTCTGCATCTAGGTCGACGACCGTTCTGTGCCGACGGCTGCCGTTGGCGTAGATCGGGGTAGCCCGACGGCCAGGATAAGCCGACGGCCAGGAGTAGGCTGTTGGCATAGCTCCAAGTAGGCCGACGGCAGCCGTCGGCATAGTTTTGGCTGTCGGCGTAGGACCGTTTTCCGGTAGTGTCATCAGTGCCTCCTCCTAACCACACCGCAGTGCGAGGAGTGCACCATCCATAGGTAGCGAGATAGTGACTAACTTTATTCTAAGAACGACTAATCTTAGTAACGAAGATCTCCCTATCATCTTTCATCATCTCCTGGATCTCTCTGACTAGCACCATATGCCTCGAATGATCCGGTACTGTAGCTTGCAGCATCGTCACCGCCTCGGCGCTATCAAGTTCCAACTGTATGGGACAGTTGGTGCGGTGTAGGGCAATAGCTAGGCCGTCCTTGCACGCCCCCAACTCGGCTACAAGAGCGTCATCGCATGCAAATAACTGCCTGCAAGTCGAGTATATAGGCCCTGTTTGGTTCATAAGTCTTAGGACTTTTTTTAGTCTCAACTTATAAGTCACAAGTCTCTAAAAAGTCCCTACCTGTTTGGTTCCTGGGACCTATAAATCTCTATAAGACCATATTATAACTATAAGTCCCTATAAGTCCCTCCTTGAGAGTCTTATTTCATAAGTCCCAAATGTCCACTTTAAGTCCCTATAAGTCCCTCATGTTTGGTTTAGATGAGACTTATAGGGACTTATTTAAGTCCCTAGACCAATAAATCCCTGGAAACAAACACCCTCATAATCTGACCTTGTGCGTCCCGCAGTACCATGCCACAGCCGCCGGTGTTGTTGCTTGCCACATAACTACCATCAGTATTGAGCTTGGCCCAGCCAACAACCGGCTTGCTCCACTTGAGCTCCATGCATGCGTTCCCGGCCGGCCGCTGATCAGGAGCTGGACGTACACGGTCAGGATCAGTGGTGGAGACAGGCCTGGGGCAGCTAGGGCTATAGCCCAGGCCTAGAAACAACTTCCTTTGTAATTTCTTCATGCAAAGCATAGAAAATTATAGAAGTTTATCACTCAACATAGCACAGCCCCAGGCGTAGTCTGCATCCAGCTCCGCCACTGGTCAGGATACAATACCATTTTTCCTTTAGCTTGGTCATGATGTGGAAATTGTTGTTGGCACAACAATGAGTTTATGTAACTCTGAAGAAATCTACGGGAAGCTTCAGTAGGCGGTGGCAGTTTGTCATGGGTGATTTTGTTTCGGACGTGCCACGTACGCCAGAAGACCATCAACAGAACCATGCGACTGAGCTCCTGCAGCTGATCAAGCACCCCAAGGAGCCATCCCGGCCCTGTGTTGCACACTTCGTCCACGTCCGGGATTGGCCAGTCCTGCGCCACGGCTCTCCATAAATCCTTGGCATGTAGGCGTCTGCACATCGTGTGGAAACCGTCCTCGTGTTCCACACCACAAAGGGGACAAACATCATTAGTTTCTAAATTGCGGGAAAATTTGTTCGTCCAAGTAGCAAGAGAATTTGTCGCCATGCATGCCCATATCATTTGCTTTGCCCATATCATTTGCTTTGCTTAATCTTTCTTAGTTTAGCTTTAAACACTACAACTTCTTGTGTGATGACACAACTAAGATCCAATCCTTACTCTAACCAATGTCCAGTTAAGCACTAACTTACTGTAACCAATGGCAGACATGAACACAAACTTATTGTAACTAGAAAATCATCCCTACTCCTATAAAAAAGCCAATTGGTGGTGATGGTATGTCTGCCTTAGGGCCATCTACACCGTCCGATGTGGAATCTAAGGATGAGAATGACCCGAGGCACCAGTTTTGCAAAAACACCCTGAGCATCTGACAGAATTTTGCAGAAGGCATCCGAAAGACAACACGAATATTCTGGAGGTTTCTACTTATCTCCCCAAACAAACGTGTCTTCAAGAAGGAGCTAAAAAAACGTTTTCGAGGACCCCCTCCCCAATTCCTCGTCGCAGGTCCCTCGACTCTCTGCCCCGGCGAAAGCCCAAGTTTAGTTGGGCGAGAGCTTCGCCTCTTGTACAGTCGTAGACCGTAGTTGTAGTCAGGGTTTCGATAAATCGGATCTGGCTTTGAGCTTTGCCCAATGTCTCTCCTTCTAGATCTTGCCGTGCAAGCTGTCGGAGTAGGAGAAATGACAGATCCCACCGGGCCGCCGCTGCCAAGGTCAATGAGCCGCGGGCGCTCCAGGTCACTCTCTGTTAGCGCAGCTTGCCCAATGACTGTGCCGATGTGTACGCCAACATCCACCTTCCGCCGGCTGCGTCCCTTGTGCACTCACGGACAGTAGCGGGGGTCCTCTGTAGATGAAGACTACACTGTTTATTCCAATGACCACTACAAGCTCTGAACTGTATATGTTACCTTGACTAGGCCGCATGCCCCAATTTTTGGCTTCCAGGGATACGCACTGTCGTGTTGGTCGCAGCGCAATCACGCTGGCACAACACCCTCCGGTGTAGCTGAGTCTTCGTCAACGATAATTGCCCTCTTAATTTTCAAGCTTCTAGGCTATACTGTAGTAGGCCAAAAAAATATACTGTAATCGGTCAAAAACAGTCTATGTGTGTCAGTGTGAAATGTTACTTTTTCTCTCTCTCATTGTAATGTTACTCTCTATATTGTTACTCTCCCTCTCTGTAATGACCACCGATATGACTTATATTTAAAGCATGTGACCCCTTGATTTGCATCATGAATCCCTTTTTTTAACAATATATGTGGGTCAGTGTGATGAATTTAAAGGCATATATTAGACACGATAGATGATGAGCCGTCAAAATATGTATGTTCCGTTGCAACACATGAGCAATTAACTAGTACTTTCAAAGATCTGACAGAAACACCAGCTTCTTGTGTGAACGCCAAGCAACTGTACCCACAAACTTCAGTGGTTACCACTAACTTGACATGAACACGAACTTCAGAGTTACCGCTAACTTCAGACTTGACGGTAAAGATCAAAATTCCAGACTTACAGTAAAAAATTCAGACTTGCAGAGCACTTGGGAATGAGGCCGATAAGCATGAGGAGGATTTGGAGGAGGAGCCGACATCGTCGGGGTCGACTTCCGCAGCAGCCGTCGTGGGTTTGGTCAGAGAAAGTTGGAGGGTTTTTTTCTGTAAGAATGCTGTCGCGACATTCTTTTTCGGACGGAGGGAGTATATATGTATGGTTCCTGTTGCAAAGAGCATGATATCGTACTTAATTTGTGGCGTATAGTTAAGGAATTTTATCGTATTTATATGAAGGAAAGATGTTGCATATTGCATTGTTTGTTATCTCCCTTTCTCTCACTCTCAGAAAATCCATATACATGTCACACTCCGCAAACATACTACGTATATACTGCATTGAGCAGAAGCAGGGTTCAGTACAGCACTACATTAAGCCAGATTGAGCAGAATCATATACGGACTTCTGCATTTATTGGCATGAGTAGCGATCGGGTGTTTTTGTTGCTGGATTTGGCCACTGATCTCGCCGGCAGATCACGCTACAGAGCAGAGCCGGCGAGCTCCCTAGTCAATCCGCCTTGAGGGTGTTGCCGACGTCGATGACGAAGCGGTACCTGACGTCGCCCTTGGCCAGGCGCTCCATGGCCGCGTTCACCTCCCCGGCGCCGATCACCTCGACGTCCGCCGCCACGCCATGCTCGGCGGCGAAGTCTAGCATCTCCTGCGTCTCGCTGATGCTCGCCATGCAGCTCCCGGCAAGAGTCTTGCCGCCTGTTCGGTCGCAGTAAAAGATCAAACCGGGAAGCTCGCAAGGCAAGATTTTTCTGAATGAAGGAAGATCATAAGATTTTTCTGGGTGATGAAGGAAGATCACAATCGAAGCTGAACTTACCGCCGATGAGAGCGAATGCGGAGACTTGCAGGGGCTTATCGGGGATGCCGAGCAGGATCATCTTGCCGTGGGGTTTGAGGAGCGCCAGGTACGGGTGCAGGGACGCGGCGGCGGACGCCGTGTTGACGATGCCGTGCATGGTGCCCGCGGCGGCCTTCATCTCCGCCGCGTCGGTGCTGAGGACGAACGCGTCCGCGCCCAGCCGCTCCAGCGCCTCCTCCCGCTTCCCGGGCGACGTGCTGATCACCGTCACCTTCGCCGCCCCGAACGCCCTGGCGAACTTGACGGCGACGTGCCCGAGCCCGCCGAGGCCGATCACGCCCACGTGGCTGCCGGGCGCGCCCAGCCCGTGGCGCCGCATGGGGGCGTACACGGTGGCGCCCGCGCAGAGCAGCGGCGCGGCGACGTCGAGCGGCAGGGCGTCGGGGAAGCGGACGACGAAGCGCGCGTCGGCGACGACCAGGTCGGAGTAGCCGCCGCGGGTGACGGCGCCGTCCCTGTCGCGGGAGTTGTAGGTGAGGACGACCCTGGCGCAGTAGTTCTCGGCGCCCTCCTCGCAGCTCTCGCAGGCCCGGCAGGTGTTCACCATGCAGCCCACGCCCACCCTGTCGCCGGCCGCGAACCCCGCCACGTTCTTGCCGACCTCCGTCACCACCCCGGCAATCTCGTGCCTGCAACCATATAATCGGTGATTATAACAAGTTGTGGCACGGTGATCAGCCTGGCGATCTCGTGGCTCCTGTGAGTGATGTGTGAAGTTTACCCGGGGACGACGGGGTAGATGGCGTTCCTCCAGTCGTTCTTGATGGTGTGCAGGTCGGAGTGGCAGATGCCGCAGTAGAGCACCTTTATGGCCACGTCGTCGTCACCAGTGCTCCTGCAGAATTAACGGCGATATTAGATTCTCACGAACCAGTCCAGACGATTCTACTGCATCGGAAGGGATCGTGTCAGAAACACAACCATCTCCTCTGCCATGCACTCTCACCCATGAGCACGTCTCAGAACTGCAATTTGCTGACGCGGGGTACATATTCAGAGCTCACAATGACAATGGAGACTACTAACCTTAATCATTCGAGATTTGCATCTGAAAATTCAACTAGTTACTGATAACACCAACTCTTTAAACTACTTCCTACGTGTCCCAGATTACTTTTCACTCAAATGGATATATCTACCACTAATTTGAGCGACAAGTCATTCGGGGCAGATGGAGTGTTTATTTGTCCGATCTCTTGCATTACTAGTAGGAGATTAACCGCGTGTCGGCGTGTGCCCTTCTACATATATGTCTTGCGACCTTTCGTATGTCTTGCCTCCTACGAAGGGTTTGCACTGCTGTTGTAGCTGACAGAGGACACATGCATGGTCAAGCGAACATCAACAAGGTGAGCTGGCCTACTCGCAAAAAAAAAGAGAACATGTTGAGCTGGCCGGCACAATAAACGAGATAAAAACTGTAACAAATCCTCTCTGCGGGCTGAATCCGGTCTCGGGGACAGTGGGGCATCTTCATCCATCTCCCATAAACTCAGCCATGTGCGGGTGCAGCAGGCAGGAGCGGGGCGATGAACAACTTGACGTTCCACCAAGCGTACATATACGTAGCAACGCAATTGAATTGCCTTGAATTAATGCATAGTAACTGCCAGCCAGCTAGAGAAGAAGGAGGCCCAGGCCGAAACGAGTATACGTAGCGGATGGCAGGACATGTTGTGGACTGAGGTATGCAGCAGCCAGAAAGATCAGGTTGGTGGCGGGCACCATAAGTTCTTTGCAGGGGCAGCGATAAAATTCACCTTCACTCCAAGAACTTTCAAGGAAAGAATGAAGGTTCGGTACCTGCAGCTGCAGTTGAATTGAGGTCTGACCCGATCTGGTATGATGTGTGTGTGGATGATGCAGAGAGCAGTGAATGGGTAAAGGTTTAGCATCGGCAGCTCTACCTGCATGTTACTCTTACTTAATTGCCTATCACCAACTCAGAACTGAAGTCGCCAGAATTTCATAGTTGATATTGTGAGTTGCAACCTGGCTACAATGATTTTACTTTGGGTATGGCTAGATCTCAATCAACTGATACTTAACGAAGTCTTAGTCAAGTGAGAGAACATAAAAAGGAAGAACGAAAAAAAACTAAAAGAAAATTTTACACGGATCTCTACGTAGGATCTAACGAGTATAGCATCGACTAAGACTTCGTCAAATCTCGATCGTCCGAGATTTAGCAACTCCGTTTTACTTTACTGATTCTTCAGAAATCACTGTCGATCGCTTGGAACAAGAGGGTTCGAGAGGCTGAGCAAGAAGTAGTAAGTATATTTTCCTTGTAGAACAGTATAATACTAAAAGAAGGCTCGACCGTTACTTGAGTAGTACCACTTGCGGGAAAATATGGCGTAAATAATATTGTCCCTTCTCCGACTCCGCATGGGGCGAAGTGACAGGTCGTAGTTTACTTGAGATACGAAATTAAGATCAGCTACGCGCGTACACTGACCACGGAACCAAATTCAGAGTCTCAAGCTTGCACTTAATTGGTGTGCTTGATCTGAACCGCAAACTAGCACGACGCGCACAGGCCTATACTGAGTCTGTTCCCACAGCCCCAGCTGAGCTAGCGCAGGCGTAGAAATTACAAACCGGAACGATTCCCCGCAATGGCGACTGCCGGTGTGTCTCCGACAAGAGACGGACAGGGGATGGGGATGGGCTAGCTAGATAGGGGAGCGTGCGTGCGTGCGTACCTTCGGGGGATGCGGATGGGCGAGAGGTGGCCGGATGCGTCGTGCGCCGCGAGCCCCACCGCCTTCCTCGGGTGCTGCTGCTGCTCCGCCGCCGTCGTCGTCGTCGTTGCCGTAGGCGCCATTGCGGATGGGCGACGGTGGCCGGAGAAAGGGAGAAGCGACTCGTCTTGGGTGGCTTTTGCGAGATACTACTGGTTGAATGACGGTGCGCCTCCGCGCTGCCTTGTTTTATAGCGACGCGAGCGCACGCCGGGGGCAGCTGGAGGCGACAGAGCGAGCCGAGCAGGCGTGGCGTTCACATTGTCCTGCACAGCTGGACTAAACACGAAAGCATTGTGCGAACGGTCGAACCGATTGTGTCATGCCCGCTCGATCAAGTTTTTACTGCAGTACTAGCTGAGTGCCCGTGCGTTGCCACGGAATAAAAAAATGTATATGGACACAATGAAATATTCTACTTCAGAAATATGCATTGAGCATGCATGGCAATATGTGATTTCATTTCCGAAGATTTACTTTCGCTCTAGCATTTTGTTTTGTTGGACTGAATAGCACATAAACAAAGGCTGGCTACAGGGTGCAAGTGCAAAACACTTAAAACTCTAGGCACCTAATGTGAAGAACAATTAAAAAATTGGGTTTTCTGGGTAATTGAATAGATCTAATGAAGATCAACTATGTTCCTCGTCTCAGAAATTTATAACTGTAGTTGTATTAAGTAAATTTTGCAGTGAACCATGTTTGCTCCATTGTTTTACTGTAGTCTTGAGACCAAAACCAGGAGTCAGATGCTGGATTTCCGAACACCATCTGCTTCATCGCACATTAAGCATCTGAAACAACATAACTTCCAATTCACGAATTTAAGAGACAGAACAAAAAAAAGGACAAATGAGAGGAATAAAAATTTCATGCCACAAATGTAAGGAAATATGGAGTGTAATACATTACAATTGGTACATCCTACATGGTCAGCCGATTATAACTCATATTAGATTGATGTATTGCATGGTTCACTTCCGGCCTTTGATGCAATATCTGCAAAGCAAAAAGAATTGAATGAATGAACAAACTGGATGACCTTGTTGCCCCCTTGAGACTGACAGAGAAAGATTTTGTAGCTACACATAACTTCACCGCCATAGGTAATCATTTACATTGCCAATTTGCTATGCTGGTATAGAAGACTAAATCACAGGCAATGGATTTTGTGATTTCAGGTCATAGAAAGAGAACTACCTTATGGAAGGGGCTGAAGTGGTGAATTCAAATTTTATGACATGGCACTGAAATTACAATTGAACGGTCATTGTAAATGATACATCTGTCAACATTTTGTGTGACTGGAACAATGACTCCTCAAAACTGATAACAGGGACATATCTCTGAGATTAAATAAGTCACTTGCTTTCTTTCTGGCAGGAAAAACTGAAAAAGAAAGGCATGTCAGACACTCAGACATACGAACCTGCTTTTCGACAATGCTTCGAGGAATTTTATACATATTTCTTTCATACAAAAAAGTGTGTCTTGTGGCAAACAAATTTTTACAACCAAATTTTCATATGAAGTATCAAGACGCTCAATTTGAGATGAACCATAGAAATAACTTGGCAACCATACGCTAACCATTGTTAAGAGCTTCCATGTCACACAGATGTGCCTTATTCTTAAATTATATACTCTTCCCTCAAAAGGTAAACTAATATACTCTCTTACATATCTTCTCCCAGGCAAGCTAGTATTCTTGGCTCCTGCCTTGTGTCAAAAATTTAAATTATGAGCAATTACAATTTCATATCACAGTCAATATATGCAGTTTGGAGTGTGGGACAATGGCTTGGAGCGTGAGAGCACACCAAAGCATTAAATGTAGCAATGTGGCGCTTGCTCCCTGTACACATGATGTATCTAAATGACACAAGAGATGTATATGACTCAAGGAACTGCATGACAAAAACTGAAGTTGCTGGATCTCTCTCACAACACTACACAAGTATTTGGACATGAAAGAACAAGCGCGCCTACACACACGCGAGCACGCAAACAAATGATTTCCATTGCGTAAAAATCTTGCAACCTTTTCTGGTTTTTTCCTCTTATTTATATGGTCAACTACTGTCGTTTAAAATACTACTGAAAAAGAGAGAATAGCTAGTGGGTAGGTATATCGGATGAACCATCCCATGTCCACCTGAACCCAGCCACTGCGACGCTGCTTGCACTGGATTCGTGGCATCCCACGAAGCACATGCATCGGTAAGATCTAACTAACCGAGAATTACACTAAGACATGGACATGCACACATTACTTGGTTGTTATTGGTAGAAAAATAAAATTAATAATGCTAGGGACCAAGCAAAACGGGATTACATGCACATAAAAAACTGCCCGGACTTGAACTGCGAAGGAAATCACTCCGGCTACACCCGGATGAGCTGAAGTGCACATGGTGGCGTCCACCATGACCACCACCACATTGGAGGCATTGCCGGCATAGCCGAGTCTCCCACAACTAATATCAATGTGTATGCTAATATTTTTGGGTATAAGTTGTATCTGGGAAGGCATACAGAACCAGAACTAAATAGGATCGATGCACCATTGCCAACACTGGTCAACTGATTATTTAGTGATACACTGGGAGGCAACAGGAAGCAAGTACCCAAAACACTGATTATTTAGTGATACACTGAGAGGCAACAAGAAGCAAGTACTAAAAACTGTAAGTGTAGAACCTACAAGAAAGTAAACCAATCCAGACTTACATATCTGGTCACATTAGCCGCCATATGAACAGAAAATCAAATGAAACTTACCTGCTTCCTCCTCTTGGTTCCAATTATCATCATCATCAAACTCGATATTCTGCAGAGTGCGGCCATGTGAGCCATATTTGCAATATGAAAGACAAAGAAATGATACATCACTGCTGGTCTATGATTTTATAATGGGTACCCTTTCATATTTTTCCATGTGAAGGAACACACATAGATCATACTGTTTCACCAAAATCATGAGCCTATTAAAACACTTATTTCTACCACAAAGAATACCTCAGTGCATAAAGATTCGAAGTACTAACCTATTTATAATTGTCATCCCAACTTTCTTCCTCTTCCACTCCCCGTTTTCCTTATATCACTGTCCTTTTCGATCTTGTCCTCTCCATACTATTAATAAGCCAATCTCTGTCAGCACAGTGGCATAAGCATAATCTCACTATTTCCGTAATGTGTAATGTCAAACAGAGTATAAGACTATAAACCAGTAAATATTGTATCTACAATAGGATGATGTTTTCCAGATTGATTCCAACAACTCAAAAATAAACTAAAAGGTAATGATGTATTTCCTTGAGCTTGCCTTCAAGTTTCTCAAATAGCTCAAATGACTGGCAAATAAATATGGCAAGATCCATGTAAAGGGTCAATGTATGTACACCTTAATAATATCTAGCCTAGAAGTGTTCGTTTAAGTTTCACTGATGCCATAGACATGCCAATAGGATGGTGTAAACAAAATAGTTTCCTCAAAAAAGAAAAACGTCCCAGAAGAAGCTACAGTGATTCTAGCAAACCTGCCACTCTATCTCACCAAACTGTTTTCTTAATTGGTTGACCTCATCTTGAACTTGAAGAGTAAAAACAATATTAACTATCTATTGTGCTAAAAACACATAGAAAATAACAGAAATAGTATTTACTTCAAGACTACCATGTTGTAGTTCTGTAGGAAAATTTGCAGGAATCAGTCTGAGGATTGATGCAAGAGCTTCACATTTGCCTTTTATTTCACACCTCGGTATCTCTGTCATCACTCTGCAGTTTTCATGACAGCGGCTTCGTTGTCCCATTCATGCAGTTGCATACATCCACGAAGGAGGGAAATATCACAGTTGTAGAAAGAAAACGTGCGTCAGCATCACAAGTCAAAACTAAAAGGCAGATAATAGGATCATGAAAGACAGCGTCAGCATGACAGGACCAAACCAAAAGGATGGGTGGATATGGTGGTAGTTCCATCCACATAAACCTGCACAAGAAGTGAAAGCAAAGGTTGAATGCCTTGAGAACACAAACAGACATGCAAGATCACCACACTTCAAGATAAGATTAATTCAGGAATGAAACCATAGGCATGGCGCACACAGACATAACCTTTTAGATGAGAAATTGAGGATCCTGAGGAGGGAGGGGGGACAAGTGTGTGGCGGGGCTCTGCCACCTCTCGATGTTCGACAGGCGCCACCAGATCACATTCCCCACGGTCATCGGTCCCCAGCACGCCAGGGGAGGGCAGGGCATCCCCTGGAGATAGATGAGAGGAGTGTGTCGCCGCCTCCAGGGGAGGGCAGGACAGGGGAGGGAAAGAGTAACCGACCCTATCAAGACGGGCAAGGCCTCCGATGAAGGTGAGGGTGAGGGCTGGGTCAGGGACACCTCGACCTCGTTGACGCGGCTGAAGCCATCATTTACCCGTGGGCGGCGCTTGAGCGCTAGGAAGGCATGAGCACCTGCGCTAGTGCGGTGAGCGAAGGGGAGGATGAGTCAGGCCACGGCCTTGGGGGGGAGGCGGGCGAATGGTGGAGGAGACCTGAGGTGATCACCGATCTGGATGGCGGTAGGGGATTTTTCTCGCGAGAGATGGGATGGGAGGAGCGATGGGTTTGGTGACGAGAGTTCGCGGCAGGGAACGTGTGTGCCTGGTTGTGGCCTCGTGGGTGCTTTTTCTACGGAGGTTGTTTTTCATTTTCTTTTTATCGTAGTGGAAGGCTGGTTGGTTCTCAACGTGGATTGTGTGGGATCTATCGAGAGGAGGAGGGAAGGAGGAGGTCGAACCATCACGACGTTCGATCCCCTTTTAATAGTAGAGATATATACGTGACAGCACAGTGTGATGACAGATGATGATATATATATAAAGATGTAATCATGTACTCCCTCCGTCCTACAGTGCATTGGTATCAAAAAAAAGTCTTACATTATGAGACGAGTACTTAATAAGTACTCTCTTCGTCCCATAATATAAGAACGTTTTTGATATTAGTGCAGTGTTAAAAACGTTCTTATATTTTGGGACAGAGAAAGTAATTGTTATGAGTCACAAACACCATCGTTT